AGATCTTTTTTGCTTGATCCTGAGGCACAAAGCATTTTGATTGGTCTGTTTCTGTCGGAGACGTCTGCGGATAGATACTGTGGCAGGACACACACAGAGCCGTAAGACAGGGCGCTTGGCGAACTCCTTTAACATTACAGGAGAAACTACACGAGCCAACAGAGGAAGTAGACTGGACAGCCCAGGGTATTCTGTCTCACTTGGGTCGTCAAGTGCGATGATGACGAGGGGGACAATCCATTGTGTTCTCAGGTCCTCGGCGAAAGATCAACACAGTAAGGCAGCACAACAGCGTAATGGAATTCTCTGATTGTTTCTGTAACAAGTGCATGCCCGGATTACACAAGCCGCTCCCCCTTTCCAACCTTTTCTATGTTTTTGCTTTGAGTAAAAAAGCTCCCTCAAGAGGATATAATTTATAAAGTGCACACATTATTCAGTTAATCATGGTTGTTATGGTAATGAATACCATTATTATCATTGCTTAAATGATACATAGAAAACAAGAAACACCCCAAGCCTCCCCCCAAAACCCCCCCAACAAAACACAACAACAAACAAAGAAACTTACAAACAAGGAAAACCAAAAAAAAAAAAAACCCAAAGAAAAAAACAACAAAAAACAAACAAAAAAACAACTCAAATCATTCTTTACAAAAAAAAGAAAAGAAATAAAAACTAAAACCCCAGCCTTCTAAAACATTAAGGAGAGTAGATAATGTTTTTATGACGTGACTAGAGAGAAACCGCGAGAGTTGTGACAGACCCAAACAGTCGCCCTAACCGTAAGAGCGTGAAGCTACAGGGGAGCTAACTCTGATCACAGTAACCCAGTAGCCTCACATGACAATGGGTAATTCCAATGAACATCTAATTTGACCTATGACAATAAAAAGTGCCAATAATAATATTAATAATAGTATTGTGTAATTCTGATATGGTCGCTTGTAAGGACAAGCGGGCTAACCAAGATTTCAAAGGTTTCCAGAAATCTTGACCTACACCAAAAGTTTGCATTGCCCTACCTATAGGAGAAGCTTGATTTCATTGGTGTGTATATTTGTTTGGTTACAGAGAAAACTCTCCTTCTCTTTAAAAGAAACTGAACACGGGTCCAAAAACTTTACCTCCGATTTTCTCAACGCAGCATTTTTCGGGATACCCCCTTCTGCTTAAAAGTGACAATTTGAACATGTCGGATACAGGCTGGATAGTTGTTCCCGTGTGCTGTTCAAATGCTCAATGATCAATCGAACAAATCGGATATGCAGGGTCAGGTCGGGTTGAGATGTAGGGTTAACAGTGTGTACTTATCGGCTGAAAGTGGGTTTATGTTATAGATTTGTACTGTCGGTAAATTAATTGTACAGGTTTATTGCTTGAGTATACATCTTTTTCTGCACTATACGGTCCTGCAGGAAACTGTTCCATTGTGATTTATTTCTCTGTCTCTGTCTCTGTCTCTGTCTCTGTCTCTGTCTCTGTCTCTGTCTCTGTCTCTGTCTCTCTCTCTCTCTCTC